GTTTAACTTAAAAGATTAAAAGAAATAGTTTTTGTTAAAAATAGTATTCGTTTTAATTCGTTTTAATCATAGAAATTCTTTATAAATAATTTTCCTGTTTTTTCTGACCGCACTGTACTTTTCCCTTGCAGATTTCCTTAGCCAAAAGACCTCAAAAGCCAAACCCCCGAACAGAGCAATTACAATAAGGCCCACTCCCCCGAAGAAGATGCCAGAAACTTTGATATATTGTCAACTATGTTTGCCCAGCGCTTAGGACAGCCCCCTTAAAAATATACATACACTTTGTCTTGGGCATGCCAACAATAATTTTTGATTAAAGATGAATTTTTAATTTAATGTATCTCGCAGATAGAGACGCAACCGTTGGCCACGGCCATCCGTATCCGTATCCGTGGTTAAAGGAGGAACGATGAAAAACATCAGGGAAATGAGGGAAAAAACGCACGAAAATGTTTTTTAATCTCAACGGCAAACGGAAGCGGAAATCAAACGACCAGAACAGCGGCCAAAAAGCTAAGGCTAAAAAAAAGAAGAAGTGATGTAAGTGGTGGCATACGATTTCCAGGGGGTGGTGGCTGAATTTTTAGGTGGGAGGGGGCGTGGCAGCAGCGACCAAAGTATCAAACAAAATTTTTAATGTCTTCGTCCGAGTCTCGCTTCTATTTTTTTTCCTTTCCGTTGGTGTCTTCTGCCTGGGCGCCTTGTTAAAAAGCCCGCGAAATTCTACAGCCCAAAATTCCCACCCTCTTTGGGTGGAAACGGCCTTTGATTTTTTCCGAAGTTTTTAACTTTTTTTCGGTTTTTTTGGCCGCTGCTCTGCGCTTGGCTCATTAGGAATTTTTCTTCGCCAGTTTGTTCGGAGAAGCGATAAAAATTTTAGAGGCCCCCCGCCAAATGGTGTTTAATGATTTATGAATAATCGCCATTTTGCATTTGAGTGGTGGTAAGTCACTCAGTCAACGCACACCAAAAAAAAAATTAGGGAAAAAAAAGAAAAGTCCATTTACACGTTTCACTGGGAAAGGTGAAGGCTATGTTTTTTTGGAGGGGTGGGATACAATTTTCCCGGCCTTATCAATGTTTTTTGGGTGGTTTTCTCCAAATTTTCCTTTGATAATTTTTAGAGAAATTCTCGTTTACCATTTTACCACTTGAGCGTTAAATATTTTTGACAAACAACACGCGCCTAATTTCGGGGTGACAGTCTTGACAATCAGTTAGGGGAGGGGGTGGAGTTGGGTGAAATGGATCCTTTGGCAATTAAGAATTTTCCATAATTGAATTCGCTGCTTTGGAAAATTGAAAATAAAATTTTTATTTATTTATTTTATTTTTTAAATCCCACCTTTCCTACTCTTATATTTCCTCCAAAATTGCCTTTGTTCCCCACATCCTACACATAACATCCCATTACCCACTTTTAACCCATCAATTAACCCACACCAGCCATTTCCCAGCGGATAAAGCGATCAATTTCGCTGCGAATCAAATATAAAATCGTACAAGTCAGCTGCCATTTAACTCCTGACAGTAAGAGGGTCTTAAAAAACGGGATAATAAAAGTATCAGGCCAAAAACACACACACACATGTCACACTCGCATTTGCCTATCAAAAAGTTTTGATCTTTGATTGTCTGGCTGGGCTTTTTAACTAATTTGGGACACCCATTTGAATTTTCCACCCAACCCCAAACGGCAGGCGCCTTAACCCTCAGTCACCCCCGCAGGCTAATTTCGCCCCACTGACGTTCGAACGCTGGGAAATCGCGAGAAAACCGCATGCAAAACGCGTCACATGCAGTCACTGGGGAATTAACGCCCCACACACACTCACACACTCCTCACATATTTTGCATACACTGAGAAAAAGTCTTCATAAAAAAGGAAATTATTGCTAAACAAGTTATTCGCTTGAAAGATATTATACTACAAACTATATATTTTAAAATTGTAGGTAAATAATCTTGGATTAAAACACAATGAAAAAATATAAAACATAATAAAAATAAATATCTAAATATATATTGTTAATAGAATGTTAAATAAATAAATTATGTAGTTATACGATTCTGGGTTTCATTCAAAAATTATATCCTTGATTACATTCCTATAAATATAAATATGATTCCTTGAAATTTAAAAATGTCATTATTTAAAATATATAAAATTAAAACTTTCTAAATAAAATGCATCCTAGTTCCTAAATATTTCTCTCTGTGCACCCTTGTTTCGTTTTTGGTCGGTGGCAATCTCACCCCCGTTCGACGACACCCCTGGCTTTATTTGCGCAATATTTTTCTGATAATAACAAATTCGCGAATATGTTTATCTGCGTTTTCATTGCCGTCTGTTTTCCTTTGCGTTTCCCTTGCCGTCTGTCGCCTTTCCTTCGCCTCCCAAATTTCCTCGCGTCTTTTTTTTGGGTTTTTTGTATTGTATGGAGCTTTCGCTGGGGGTTTTCATTCGGATTTGTCCTTTCTGCACAGGTCTTGCCGTCTTGCCGCCTTCGTTTATTTTTTAGCGTGCCACTAATTCCATTTGAGACGTAACGAAAACGAAAATGACATCAATTTATTTGTGTATTGTTGTTTACTTGTTCCTCCTCGCATTGCCCCTGCTTTTCCGGCTTTTCCCAGTTTTCCCACCGCCTCTTTCATTGGCCGGGACCGCCCTCGGCTTTTCATTTCTTGGTGACAATATCTTGAGGGGGCGTCGGATAAAAATAAAAGAGGGTACAGCATTCCATTGCCAATTGTTTGCCAAAGTCAGTTAATTGTGTTTCCTCCTTTTTTTCTTTGCTTTTTTGCCGGCTTTCCTTTTGCTCAGGGAAATCTAGAGTGAGGGAAACTGAATGAAATTGGTTGGTGTAAGTACAAAGTTATAAGTCCATTATTCATTTGTACATTGTGTAGTCTAGGAACATATTTTATGCAAATCAATATATTCAATATAATTATTATATTATAGAAAATATTTGTATATAATTATAATTTGTTTATACAATATATTTAATATTAATATTTTCTAAAATGTAAATGATTTTTTATCAGTAAAACAAAAACTATTCGAATTAAAGATGATTTAGTAATTTACTTTTTTATTCAATTTAAAGTGCATTTAAACGTTTTTCCTATTATATTTTAGTCCCTTTGATTTTCCCACTTTTTCAGCGTTCTGACTTTTTTTTGTTTTCCCATTTGTGGCATCTTTGAGTTTTAAAATGCAAACAATAACAACAATTACACCCAAAGGATCAGTTGAAAAGTCAATAAACTCCCGCGGACAGCGCGTATTGGAAAATGGGAAAAGTGGGCAAAAAAGGGGAAAAGGCGAAACCGCAAAATAACCGCAAAGAGTAAACAACGGCGGAGAGCTTACTTGGTGCCTTACCCTTCCGCAACGCCCCCGATAAAACCCACTATATATGTAGATATATATATATATCCCCCTTCGCTTTTCAACTGCCCCGTGGCGCAACCTTTTCGAGCACTTTTTTTCCTTCGTTATTTACAAAAACCATAAATCAATTGGACACGCCAAACACACGCAGACAAACAAACAAATGCAAATCTATTTTTAAATGCGAAATAATACGGAACCCGAAAATAAAGTAAGGGGTGGGGGGTGTTGGGTGGCGAGTAGAAGACAACCCCTGAGGTTCATGCGTTGAAAATCGCGAAAAACCCGAAAAACCAAGTAGAAAAAGGGCCGAAAGTAAAAAAAGATGCCAATGGATGAGGGGAAAGGGGGAAAGGGAAACAAGGGGGAGTGAAGTGAAAAAGCCCAAGGAGAAGGGGTGGAAAATGTGGCGAAGGGAAGGACAGTGGGCGAAGAGCCACGCGGGAAAAGTCGCTGATACGACATGTGGGAAAAGTCGAAAAGTCACTGGCAAAAATAAGCTTATACGACTATAATATACCTTCTACTTGCTGAACTGTTAAAAATAATTATTTCCATTTGTTGGAATTTCCTTTTACCAAGTTACTTGTCCTTTAAAAGAAGTTTTATATCAAAACTGAGGTTATACTACTTTAAGATATCCTCTACACGATGATAGTATTTATTTTACTTACTTTCTTAAGTGAAGTTATTTATTTATGTCATCTATATAACCTCAAGGGTATATACCCTCCAACTCAATGTGGTATAAAGGGGTATCAGAAAATATAGACAGAAACGGGGGGCGTAAAGTGGGCAAAGGGGTGTGGCAGATCGACGGCTGAAGATGCGCCGCCCGCTGGCAATAAAAGAAAAACACGAACAATAAAAATTTTACATTTTGCAGGGCCGAAAAGTGAGAGGAAAACCGAAGGAAAAATGGAGGAAAAATCGGAGGAAAAAGGGAGTAAAAAGGGGTGTTGTTGCAGGCGCACCGTAAAATGACACACTTTAAGGTCGAGTTGCGGTCTACCCAGAAAAAGCAAAAAAAAAACAATAATAAAATAAATAAAACAGCAGAGTCCACTTCGCTCTGCCCGCCGGGGGCTTCAGATTTTCTTTGCCTGTTTTTCCCCCCCAAGAAAATGCGGAAAATGTGGGCGGAGGAGCGTGTAACATTAGTTTTGATAGACTTGCACGCATGTCCTTTTCGCCTTTTTGTTATGCAAACAAATCAAGCGCAAGAAATGCCAGACACAAATCTGATTTCCGTTTGACGGCCCTTCTTCTTAACCCATCTGCATACCTTAACCCCTGGCGAAGTGGCTGGCTTATGGGCTTTCGGAAAAGGGTTCCATCTGGGGTTCCTCGGGCGGGACTTCCGTATGCTAACCACAGCACTCCTCAATAACTTCCAGGGGGATTACGTTTTGGGGGAGAAAAATAAAGGAAAATACAGAGAAATAATACAGTATAAGTAATATAACTAATCCTTATCATTAAAATATATACAATTACATAGTTAGCTAGCGAAAATTGTCAGTTTGTTTCAAGTTGAAGTTTTTCACACGACCAGTGGGTAACTGCGAAATATTTACAAGTGAAAAATCTAGAAAACATGGGTCGCGCCAAGGTGATAAGGAAACCCCATTTGCATCGTCCTTCAAGGGATCGTATCAATCCGGAGGATTTCTATTGGACCAAAGAGGAGGTAAAGCGATCCATTCAGCGATGGTCCTTCCTCTGGGAACCGATTTCGGATTCCGATTCAGAGAGAAGTTCCTTGGGAGATGGGAAGCCTCCCCTAAAGGAACTTTCTGCCTATGGAGACTGGCGTGTGCCGGAGGGGATGGCCTACGACTTCCAGACGACTGGCCGCCAGATCCTCAAGAATCTGAGCAACTTTCCCTATCCCGAGATGATCCTTCCGCCCGTCTCTCTAAGCTCTTTACTACCCAACACTTTGCGGGTGAATCGCCCGCCCTACCTCACCCACAGGATCTTCGAGCACGTGCTGCCGGATCTCTATGAGAGGGCCAAGGAGCTCAGTAGTCCCATGGAGCCCGAGGGAGCCGTGGGCTACGATCGGCGCTACTACGACAGTCCCACGCTCATCAGGTGCCTCTGCAGTCGCCCCGAGCCTCGGGGTCTCCCTCCCATGAATTTGAAGGGGGTGAGGGAGGGCGAGTCCTGGATGGATGGCCGCTGCTGTGCCAGACTGCTGGTGGAACTCAACGCCCCGCTGGTGGACTATGCCAGACTTCGTCGTGGTGGGAAACACCCTTCCAGGGGAATGAAAATCCTTAAGGGATTGACGAAGATCAAGAAATCAGTGAAGAACTCCCGATGGATGCGTCCCAGGGCCAGGATTCTACTCTATTCGGAATCGGAGATGGAAATGGAGGAGGTGGAGCAGCAGGAGCTGTGGGAGATGGAGGAGCAGCTGCCCTTGGAGGATTACTATGTGGAATATGCGAACGAGGAACTGAATTCTGGAGAGGTGGATATGGATGTGGATGTGGATGTGGAGACGGAGCAATCCTCCCAAGAACTCCTGCCGCAGATAACCCGATCCCAGTCGGATCTCACACTCGAGTACCTAAAAACCAGTCCCATGCTGAGGAGAAGTCTTAGTCTAAGCAATATTAACTAGATATTCTCCAGGCCAAAAGTTATATAATATGAAAATTCTAGTTATATCAATTTGGATTAGATGAAATATATTTAAAGGGTACAAAAATTCCAAGAAATAGCTGGAAAAGAAAAAGGCTGAAATGCCAGAGAAAGGTAAAAAAAGGGGATTGGACTCCCTAGGTGACAAAAAAAAAACACACGAAAAAAGAGAAAAATAGATGGTGCGCACTTATTCAAATTAACATAAATCAAAAGAATTTCCAGTGCAGAGAAATGTGAGAGAAAGCTGGCAAAAGAGGTGATGAGAAACTGGGGAAACATCATTTGAAAATCCAGGGTGCCGAAACACCGAAATAATCGTAACGAAACGACTGGGAGTCTAAGATAAAAATATAAAATAAATGTCTTGAGTTAAATGAGTAAAATTAAGTTAAGTGTGTGTATCAATGAATATGAAATGTATTTACAATACTTTGTGGTAGGGTTCAGAACTATTTTTAGATTTAATATAATATAATATAATATTTGTTTTCAAATTATCTTCTCAAATACTTAAAGAACTATTTTGTAGTATTTTTTTTTTTATTCATTCCTATTCTTTTAGCTTAGAAAAACCCAACCGATGGAAAACCTCGAGGACTTTGCGTCGGAAAACCTCAAATGTCCGCGTCCGCTTTTCCACCTTATGTCGTTTTGTCGTTTTGTCGTTTCTGTGTTCTGTGTGTGACTAACGCTAACATTTTTGTGATTTTTCATCTTCATCTCTTTTAGCTTGCTTTTTTCCATTTTTTTCACACCTTTTGCGGCTTCGCTTCATTCGCCGTCGCATTTCCATTTCCATTGCCACTTCCGCTTCCGTTGATTTGTTGCTGGCGCCCCTAAAAAAGAGAGGGGCGTGGCAGGAAGTGGCTGCTTAAAACGCCGCACGCAGAAAAAGGAGTAAAAAGTGCTAGAAAAAAAAGGGAGGAGTAAAATAAAAACTGAGTGTAAAAGAAGAAGAAGCAGCGTCAGCTTATGCTGCACATAATTTGTAACCATTTCACACCCTTCCTCTAAAATAGGTGGATATTTTTTTTGGGAGGGGATGGGGCGGAGAACCTCTCCAAATTGCTCCAAATTTAAAATAAACCAAAGGCAACTCCCCAAAAAATATCACTCCGCTTTCTCCGCTTCTCCCTTCAAACTTTATAACATTTCTGGTTCATTCTTCTTCTAGCTTCTTCTGAATATTCTTCATTCTTCATTCGTTTTTTTTTTTTTTTCTTTATTTTTTGCGTATATATGCGAATATAAATGAAATTTTTGTTGTTTGGACGTGACACATTTAGTTTGAATATATGGCAACTCAGTCGTCAGTCAGACGAGCATCGGAACGTAGATGGTTTTGTGTGGAGAGGGGGTAAAATGCCAGGGGTGGTGGACGAAAGGGGGTTGACTGACGACTGCTGATGACGTAAACGCAATTTGGTTTACAAAACAGCAAGAAACTGTCAGAAACTAAAGATGTCGATGGTTTTTACTTAACCGCAGGTGTGGTCATTCCAGTTTTATTTATATTCGGAGATTTGCGAAGGGGCTCTTGTGCATTATAACTATCGACTTGTTTTTAATAATTTAAATATCATATATTATATCATAATATTATTATATTACTTTAAAATACATATTATTGGAGTGACATTGATAAATGATTTGACCACCTGTTTAATTCGGATCTGTGTGGCCTGAGTAAACCCTTTTTACTGGCTTAACTCCCCCCTCCAATTGCCCAAGGACAACAATCCCCTGAACCCCTCGAATATTCCCGTATTATTTCAACATCCCCGCCGCTCGAAAAGAAGTGGCAAAAATCCAACATAAATCACAAGCACTCAATGTCAACTCAATGAACTGCTCATGCATGCAAGGACCCTTTCCCCGAACCACGGATCCTTGGAAAATCCGGCAAAGTGAGTGCAAGTGGAGCTGGCATCGCGTTATTTGTGGAATTTCCTCGAGTACATTTCGATGATAAGGAACAGGCCAAAAGAGCTAAGCCAAAAGACCACATATGGGGGTGGTGGTTGGGTGGAAAAGCGGGAAAAGACGGCGGCCTTTCCACTGCGCTTTCTTAACAATTTGTCATGCATGGAGCGCCAAATATGCCGAAAGTAGAAAAATGTATTAAAAGCAGCTGCGAGTCCTGCGTGGAAGTCCTAGAAATGCCACAAATAAATCATTTCTTTTTGCCATCTTGAGATGTGTGTGTTCTTGCACAGATAGCGGGGTGTATCTGTGAGACAGACGAGGTGAAAATAATAGTAACAAAATATATGTAAATATATATACTTTCTCTCTAAGCTTTCTCTATAAATGTCAAAATAGTTTGTGCAGTAAGAAGGATAAATATTACATATACATTTATTTGTCAAAAATAAAAAAAATGGTTTTACATTTCAAATTTAAATTTTTTCTGGTGAAATTTTATTTATTTTATCAGAGTTTTTGTATGAAATATTAAAATTATTTCTTAGTAATTCATAACTATAAAATAAACTTGTGTTTATTATTTTGGCACTACTCTTTCCACCTCTAACGTTTCAGCTTTCGAGTCAAGGGAAAAAATGGGCTTTTGATTCAGATTGGGATGACTGTCTGAAGTAGTTTCGGTTTCGCTGGCACTCGAAATATTTTCACGTGTCTCGAACAAATGTCAAACGCACACAGCAACATGAGCACACACACAGATACACTCGCACATAAATCAAAAAGCGAAGGGATTGAGGCGAAAGTATTGAAATGTAACGCATTTATTTTCATTACAAGCAAACGGAGCCCGCAAAAGTATGCTATGCAAAAATCTTAGGCTGCGATGCGTCGCTAATGTGACAGCCACAAAAAAGTAAGGGAAAATAAAGAAAAAGGGTCCTGGCCATAAGCCACCGTTGCGATATAAGCACTTTATTGGATCATCAGACTTATTTTGATATGTGACCAAATAAATATGAGGGAATTCGAGAGGAAAGGGGAAAAGTGCGAGGCATTGACATTTTGCAGCCGACGACGAGCAGCCATAAATTCCTGTCAGTTATTTTCATTTTCGTAACATTTTTGCATCGTTCGAGCACGTCTTTTTGTCAACTACTCGTTGACAAATCTACTTGGCTCTTCTCTTGTTTATTTTTGTTTATTTGTGATTTATTTCGATAGCATAATAAAAATGTGGCATGTGTTTTATATGTTAATATCTTAGTATATCTTCAGCCCTTTCACTACAAAATTCTTTGTCAAATTAAGCAATAAATTAAAATAACAGTTATAATAAAAATCAAAAAAGTCAAATATATTTCAGTTACTCACCCTGAAAGTTCAAAAATCACGCCAACTCCAAAAAAACTCCTAAAAATTTGTCAACATTTGCATATCAATTGCCGCGAAGAAAATACATTAAAAATTATACACTAATAGGGAAAATCAAGTTAAGGACACGACATCAACTTATCTTATCCGCCCAGTTTTGTCCCGCTTTTCCCGCTTTCCCGGCTTTCCCATTTGCATGCTTCATTAGCGCGGTCCGTGGAGCTCTGCGAATTAAAAGTAATGTTAATTGCGCCCCGACTGCGTTCATCCATAATCAATTTTAGCCGCTGGCCCCGCAGATACAACGAAAAACGAACGAAAAAAGCGGAAAGAAAAGCACAAAATATGACATAAAAATTTTTCATTTCCTTGAGGAGGAAAAACCAGGGAAAAAAATCCAGAAAAAAAAAGAAGCGTCGCCTGGTGGATTTTTCAAGCTCAATTCCCAGCGGACGGCGAACTTTGGCAATGAAGTAGAAAATGAAGTAGCGCCACGCCCACTTTTCCCCAGCCCCCGCCCACTTTTCCCAACCACCTCTCAGTGGGCCAGTGAATGTATTCATCAATGCAACAACACATTTGCATATTTCGGGCGTAAAAATTAATCACTAATTTTAATACGCAACGAGGCCGAAACAGAGAGGAAAAAAGGAAAAGCTAAGGAAAACCGAGGGAAAACCCACCTCGCCTCCCCTCGAAACTTGTTAAGTGGGCAACACTAATGTAGCAATTTTGAAATTGATGAAAAAAAGCGAAGTAAAAAGCGAGATAGCCAGATGGAAGGTAAACAAATTGCGCGATGAGGCGTTGTCATTTATATGGGCGAAACAGGAACCCAAAGATATTTCCTCTTCGCCCCCTCGAAATAATAATAAAAAATAAATAAATGGAAAATGAGAAAACGCAGCTCGAACATAAAAATGACCAAGGCACCAGTAAAATCGCCGGGGGGTGGAAAAGCTGGGTGGGGAAAAGCTCGGCAGAGGGGAAAATCGACGTCGTCTATCGAAACGCTAGCCGCATTTCACCTGCAGCGTTTTGATGGCCAAGCGGAGAGAGATGAGAGATGAGAAAGAGGCGCACCTCCATTAAAACTAATGGGAAATTTGCTATAATTTGATTTCACAGACCGAGAAGAAGATGCCTTCGTCCTTGGTCCTTCAAGGACTCAAGTCGCAGGCAGATTGAAGTTGGGAAATTGCTCGAGATTTGATTAATTGCAAATTGGAAATGAATTTGGCAGGCAAATCAATGGCAAGTTGGCTGGAATTTATGTTAAAAGTCTAAGATCACTTAAAGAAAAGTTTAATTTACTTTTGATTTATGTTTTAATTATAATTATAATATTAGAAATATTAGAATATTAGAAATTAGTATGTAAAATCTTTTTTTGATATTTTAATATATGTGTATAAAAACTAAATTTTGTTTATTATTTTTAAGATTTGTATTTATTATAAAAAACCCTTTAACATGAATCTTAAATACATAAAAGTAGATATTATTTTTTTTACTATTTCAGCCAATTGAAGTGATGCCTTTTGGCCAATTTCGAATGCCAATTACCCCTTGTTTTCCTTGGCGTTTCTCCACCTCCTCCCCTATTTTTGTGTGTAAATTTGAGTTGCCTAATTCCAGGCGGTACGCCTAAAAAGGGGACGGGAGGGGTCAGGCTCCAGGGGGAGGGACTGGCAACTTGAGTCTGGGCCAAGTACACGCGCCTGCACATGCGAAATGAGAAAACTTTTCGACCACAACATCGACGTGGTGGCAAGCGTTAACAGCCGGCGGCCCACACAACTACAACGCAAATACAAACACCAATGCTTGTGGAAAAGCGCCAAAAACCCCTTGCCCCTCCCCCTGCCCATGCCACGCCCACTTCTCCAATTTCGCCCCCCCTTTTTCGCAGTGCATCGTTGTTGTCTGCCCGCAAAAGATTGCTTTTAGAAATTTATAGTTTCAATAATGTGGCGACCGCGTTCCACGAACCGTTGCATTGTTGGTGGGAAAAGTGGGTAGGTTAGCGAGGAAAATGTGTGGAAAGGGTGGAAAGGCGGGGTTGTATGTGTGTCTATGTGCACTCTCATGTGTATTTTCAATTTACGCGTCCATAACTTCAAGTTTTGCAAGTTTACCTACCGAGCAACACCCGAAGGAACAAGTTGTCGACGGGCCGCATATCGAACACTTGAGCAGCAGCCACACACAGATACTCCACACACACACACTCACACACAGCACTGCAGAGCTATAGTGTTGCAGCTGAAATCGGAGCTAAGACAAATCTGCACTGAGCGAAAAAAGGTAGTTGAAAAAGTTATATTTTTGTCAAAAACCAAAAACCCGAATTTCCACAAAAAAAAAGCAATAATTTTTTGGCCGGCAAAACGGAAATATTGATCGAAATATGGATTGTCATACCTTTCTGAACTCGTTATTAAATTTCCAATTGATTGGCATTCAAACCTAGAAATTTTTAATTTTTGCCATTTTTGGCAAAAAATTGTGATGTAACCCCTTGTAAAAAAAGCGAAAATTGTGAAAAAAATAAATTTTTCAGAAAGTGATGGGGATCGTTAGTTTAGATCATTAGCTGCTCAAAACTGTCGCTCTTTTAGCTGTGGGCCTTGAATTGCTCAAATTAGAATTGAAAAACGGTTAAAAAATAAGGCATTTATACCCGTTGACTGCCATCTAATAATAATTTACATTTTGTATACCAAGACTCCTAAGATATTTTGAAAAATATTTATTTATAAAACCCCTTTTTTGCAGAGTGCACAATCTGAAGATGGGGACTTGGGACTAAAACTGAGACCGAAACTGAAGCAGTTGCCGTTTCCGCAATTACAAAACTTCCGCAAAAATAACAAAACACTCGCGCGGCAAACACCGCTGAATGTCGAGGAAAGCGAGGGGGTTGGGAAAAGTGAGCTGTGGGGAAAACTGGGGGGAAAAGCTGGCAGCAGCACATGTGCACCAAGCCAAACACACACTTTTCCGTGCATTTTTCTAGGGCAGATTTTAATTTCTTAATGCAGAAAGGGCACTCCAAAGGGGGTTAAGTGCGGCAGATGGGGGTGTTTCTGTGGGGAGGGGGCCTGCAAAGGGTTAAGCACCGCCGGACAACTTTGTCTTTGTGCATTCGCAATGAGACAACAACGGTCGTCTGTCTGTTCGCATCTGTTGCCAGTCAAACTGCAAGTCAATTTTGGGAAAACTAAACTCCCCAAAAAAAAAGATGGATGTGTGTGTGTCTCATCCTGATATTTTCCTGATTTTTCAGCTTTTTCCCTGCTTTTTCTCAACTGCCATTAGTTGCCATTAGCCTCGTTATCCCAGCTCAATTTTCTCATTACCTACCATATTTCCTCATCCACATAGATAGTGAACGCGCCTTGCATCAAAAGAAATTGATAATCTCTTAATAAGCCGAGAGGCAAACAGTCTAGGGATATTTCTCCTTTTTTCCTTAGCCGAAAAACCAACAAGCAGGCCTCAAGACTTCAAAAGGAGTCTCCCCAGACACGTGTGTGTGTGAGATACTACTTATATATCCCCAATCCCAATCTCGAAACCCCATCCCGAAATTCTCGGACAACTCCCTTTTGACACGCACACAAATCACTTGATTCAATCATCTCGAAAATTGATAACATGCCATTTACAAATGACATCACTGGAAAAAAAGCAGCAGCAAGCTCATTGAGCGCCCGCCACAAATTATTTATAGGCCAAAGGCATAAAAAAACAACAAGATACCCCCGAAAAAATTGGGACACGTGCCGCCAGTTGACCAGCCTCTTCGGCCACGCCCCCTTTTTCCATCCCGGGTGAAAGTTGCACTGGCCAAGTGAAAGTGAAAGTGAAACCTTCTAACCGCACACGGCACGCACCCAAAAAAAAAACAAAAAGAACAATTGGAAAATAGCTTGTGTTCCAACTATCAGATACCCTGTATAACTGGTGAAAATTCAGGGATAAGATGTTATTTTTAATGGCTTTTATATAAATTATTTTATTATAAGTTATGCTTTCGATTTTTAATAACTACATTACACAAATTAATTACTTATATATATTTTATTATTATTATTTTTTTTATTTTAAATAGTAATATCTGAAACCTATATACCTTTGCCAATACTAAGTGCTTTTGGAAAAGAAAAAAACAAGAAAAACAAGCGGCAGGAAAAACTCAACCCCCTTCCCCCGTGGAAACTGCCTCATTTGGGATGCGTTGCACGCTGAGCTTTTCATTTCAATTTGAACGCATTTTTTTGCGGCCAAAACAAGGAGGATTTTTGAGAGGGCAGGGATCATCCGAACATCTGAACAATCTGAACAATCGGCGCAATCGGACAATTGATTCGAACGCATTTGCGTGCTTGCCCCAAATAACTGCAAATTATTTTCAGTCTCTCGTATTCCTTTGTTGTGCGGGGATTCCCCATTGTGCCATCAGGCTCATCGGCCTCATCAGGCGGCAAAATGCCAGAAATGGTAGAAATGGGAGAAATGGGGGGTGGTCATGGAATCAAGTTAAGTGATTCGCTACGTGATGCTCTTCTGGGGCCAAGCGTCGTAAAAAGGTTCTGACAAAAAACATAAGAGCGGAAGTGGACAGAAAAAAACAGCAGAAGGTCTCTCAGGAGTGTCTGAAGATGTACGGAAAACTATTGCTTAAGAACATAACAAATTATAAGGAAAATCATAAGGTATTCTTGCAAGTAAAAGCTGAAAGCCAAGAAATCACTGAAAAAGTGTAAGAAAGGTGCCTAAAAGTATGCTGAGAATAAAGGATAGTCGTCTTCCAGTATAAATTCATATCACTTTTGGTTTAAAAAAATAGTGTTACATAATTTTAGACATTAAATTTATTTTCTCCCTTTAATTTTCATTACCAAGATCAAACGATTTGTTAACTTGTTGTTGGGTATAAAATTTCATTGCTCTGAATTGGAAACACAACTACTAGTGTTTATTTTTAAGACCCCCCCTGGAATATCATCACCACAGCCCCCGACCAACATTCAAACTCTCATTATGACCCCGGGCTGACCGATCCATTGAGCATTAAACAGTTGACCAAACTTTAATTAAGAGCACAACGCAGAGACAAACAAAGACCAAAACAATGGGGTGGACCAAAAAAGAAGGAAAGAACTAACCGAAAAGTCAGCAACACTTGAGCCAAATGTCAAATACACAAATATATCCGAAATGTGGTAGTGGCAATGAAAATGAAAACGAAAACGCCCTCCGGGGTGCATTTGCCAGCCAAAGCTGAGTGACCCGACCATTCCTATTGAATGGAGACCAGAAACTAGAAACTATAACGAGACAAACAATAACTTGGACCCGGAAAAGGTTAGCACTCGGAATGGAGACCCCATACCAAAAACCATTTTTGGTATTGATAGTTTGTAAACCGGAGACAAAAAATGGACAAAGGAGAGTATACAAGTGACAATAACAAGCACAAAATGGACACTACTACTAGATGATGATGGTGACAATGGACCTTCTGCTCCTTGGTCCTTCGGACGACGACTTGACATCCGGCATAAATGTCAAACGCCAACTTTGACCGCAAATCTAGATGGTTGGGATGTTGGGTCAATGCAGAAGCACAAATATATTCATGGAGATTTGCGAGACGCAGGATAGAGGACTCAGGACAGGACCTTCCGCAAGTCCATCAGTCGCCAGACCGAAACTTAAATATCTATTTATACGTGTATACAAACCCAAACCATTTAAAGCCATCCGCTCGCCATTCCAATTCCGATTCCCCGATCCCATTCCCATTCCATCCCAAATCCAACCAAGTGCGTCGCTTAATTACAAAACGAACAACGCATAAAAACCAACAGAGACAGGGTTCGTCGATGGGCCACCCTACTCCACCTCCCATCATCCATCCCGCTCTAACCCCAAGGAAGGACACTATTGTCTAACGGGACTCAATGCCATACCATGCCATGCACTGCCAAAAAAGGGGGCTAACTGAAATGATTAAAAAACGAAGTATTTAGTGAAGATGGAAGATATGTCTTGACTATATTAAATTATAAATAAATCTTTTCTTATAAAATATATGTTTTGTAAATAAAATATTAAATCATAATTAAAAAATTACATTTTATGAATTTTTTATTTTATATATTTACTTTACAATTTATCAACTATATTTATATGAAAATAAAATGATAGTTTGTAAAGGAAATATCAATGGTTTTCAATAGTACAGATCTTAAATAAATGATTGATTAAATACAAGCCCATAGTAATCCATGAATTTATTGATTACTCTTCTAATACCGCACAACTATTTCTCGCAGTGCCTTATCCCATATCCCCACGCCTCATCGTTTGACATTTGCAATATTTGACATTCAAGTAAAGGCATAAATTTGCGTTTAATGAAATCCAAAGGCGCCCAGGCCATTGGGATGTGCCTCTCTCTCTGTCTGCACCATATGACCGTGGCCATGGCTCTATTTTAGGGGGGTGTGCTGGATAAGGGGGGTTCTTTGGCCCCACATTCCGTCCCTTTGACGACCATTAGGCGGCCAACCGCAGCGACAGCTGGCAGGGCCAGCAAATTACAGCTGCGGATGCGAGGAGAGTCTATTGAGCGGCCATTGAACATGATGATGGCAGGAACGTGTCCTTGGGCTTAGGGTTTTGGGTTCTAGGTTCCATGTTCTATATACGAAGTATTTCAGAATAATAAAACAATAGTTACTTGATTTTTGATCGAAACATTAAGTGTATTTGTACAATTTTAAGGGGGTTTCCCTGGGGCTGCGAAACATTTGACAATCGGAATTTTGGGCGGACAGCTCGTTTCGAACGATAAAACGATGTTCTTGCCGAGAAGACCCTAAATCTAGCGAGCCATCTCGTAAGTCATGTCCTAAGCTTTGCTTTTTGACGGAATTTCTCTGCCTGGGGTCTCTCTTTTAAAGAAGGAAACTCGCCGAGAATTCAAGGGAACGACGTGTGGTAAAATATAAAAATATATAAGTAACTGAAGTGAACTAAAGATAACTGCAAACGAAATGAGAGGGTTTACTTGGCACCCCTCCTCGAAGAACGGGGACGGTCATAAATCACTGGCCTTGGGCTTTTGGCCATCATCAGCTTGTTGATCGTCTCAGTCTTCTCGGCCTCCTTGGCCCGGAAGTACTTGTAGCTCTCCTCCTTCTTGTAGAGAGTAGCGATCTCTTTGACTCTCGACGCATTCTTCGGAACGGGGGCCACATTCTCCTTCTCCTCCTCTTTTTCTTCTAATTGTACTTCTACTTCGTCGAGCTCCAATTTGGGCACCTCAATATCTCCTGGCAACTCCTCGGCCAACATCTTGCGAGGGCTTTGCTGCTTGGGAATCGGCCTCTCCTCGGAGGTTTCACTGGTACAGGAGTCCTCCTCGTCCGATAGTGTCTCGTTCATCAAAGCTTCGGCATCGGCCTCGGCATCGGCATTGGCCTGTGGCTCTGCATCACCCTCGGTGATGACCTCCTCAGCATCAGTAGTTTCTGCATCAGTAGAGCTGTAGCTGGGCTTAACCGGATCATTAGCCTTGATGGCCGAACCGAAGATAGGGCTCTAATGGGAGAAGAAATAAGAATTAATCGATATTTATCGACATTTACCATCGATACTATCGAAAATTTCGATATTTTTCAAGCTTTATTGGGAGATATACAAATAAATCGATTGATATTAATCGACATTTAATATTCTTCCCTTTAAAACATAAATTTTATCGAGAATATCGATATTTTTTAAGCTCTATCGAGGACTCACATGATATATCTGCCACTGCACTATCAAAGATAGGAGTATTCCGGCTATGATCATGGATGCACTGACCAGGAAAACCACCAAGGCGGTATCGTAGTGGGTCTCATTGCGATCGAGCACAAAGTCTACGAGCTGATAGACCTTCAGAACCAACTTGCTCAGCATGCCAAGGCTGTCTTCTGGAAGTACAGGAAAAATATCGAAATTTAAATATTGGATCTCAAACGGAAAGTTGCCCCCGTGTTTAAATAGGATATGTGTGTGTGTGAATGCGAAAAAGAGATTTGCAATTAAAAACTTGAAATCTGCGCTGCGAAGGCAAATAAAATGCAATTAGCAAGATTTGAATTAATTAAGTAGTAAGTACAGTCGTCACCGGCTACGGCAAACAAGTTGATATGGAAACCCCAGGCTCGAAGTTTCGCTTTATTAATAGCCCAAAAGTAGTGGATGTTGGTGGTGGGTGGGGTTTTGAAGGCGAAGACATGTGCCAGACAATCCAGGCACAAACACATGGAACGTGGAACAGTTGTGTCTTTTGTTTATCTTGCGCACAGACATTCGAAAAGTGGGTGGGTGGACTACCCGGGCAAAACTCTTTTCGGCAAGGACGAAAAGGAGCAAAGGCAACAACAGCAATGTGCAATTATCGCAAAATACCTTAAGGTTTACATCGTCAATGGGGAAAGAAGGTAGAGGAAAAGCGGGGAAAACAGGAAAACTCCGAGTGGCCCACAGGTGTGCCCTCCCCCTTTTCCACCACCTCATCTGTCTGCTGGTGTTTACCCAAGTGCTTTGTATTGAAGTGCATTTCGGCATGTAATTTGTAGTTCTTTGCTATTTGATTTTTCGAGCTGCGAGCTTAACCCAAACTCAAACCCAGTGTCTTAACCCTTTGTCAAGAATTCCCATTTTAAATCGTTCAACTAGTATATATAGCAAGTAGCCCTCCCAATTAACAGATCTCCCATTTCACATCTCACACCTAATATTCCGCCCAGTGATTCCCAAGCCGCGATCAAATTTGTAAGATGATCAGCACAAAAACGATAAAAGCGAGTGGTGCGAGGAGATCCAGAAGATCCCAGAGCCAAGGAAGAGGGCCTTTGAAGTTCGATAATTGCAAATTCCTTGTGCATGTTTCAGTTTGCATCAAATCGTCGCGCAATGATCGGATTTAAATCAGCGGCGGCTGTGGCGCAACTAAATTGATCTTTTATCGCTTCAACGATGCTGCTGCCGCTGCTGCTACGTCTCGGGGATCGAGAATCGAGGATCGTATCGTATCAGATCGGAAAGGAAAGAAGGGGAGAGGGGGAGCGGATTGGTTCGGTTTAGTTGGGCCCGAGTTTGAGGCTCTTGGTAGCCGGCGCGTAAAAGCTTACAAAATACGACAACGCACAGAAGCGCATAACTCAGCAGATGGAGCAAGAGGCAATGCGAACTGAGAAGTTGTAGGGCACTGAGAGAAAAGAAATGAAATTTAATTTTATTTGAATATCATTAAGACATAAACGGGAATGAACATGTGGCGCCCAACGTGGGGCATTTATATATTGCAAACATAATTGAATATTAATTATTATTTTAAAATCGCTGTTTAGAAAACGATTTAACATTAAATCCAACGTTTATTTATTGCTTTTCTATAACATACAACTTTTTCTTTCGGTGCCCTACTGAAGCTGGAACCGCTCATGCGATTGGAACATGGGGATCGACGACGTTCACGCGCTGGGATTAAATCGGAAGTTATGCGAATGTCAAAAGCTCGTCTCGTCTACCCCTCTGATCCCCTCCACCCCTCTCTTCCACTCCTTTCCCGAGAAGTTCCTTGATTGGTGTGGTGTGGAAGCCACGAGATTCTGCGGCGGCCGATGAAGAGATGGCCATTCGGTTGCCGCGAGAGTGATGAAGTAAAAATTGTTACCGTATCGAATGCGGATTAAAATCAGCTAAACAAGTTGCCAGTCGCATTGGTCGCTCAATGTCTGTCGATCTTCTGCCTCTGCTCCCCTTGCCCCTTTCACTTTTAGCCATATTGATGGGCCATGAAGAGGGTCAAAGCGAATCGATAACGAATCAATTAAGCGCTCTTCGTGGAAGAATATTGCGCATTTGGATGGGGCATATTAATTATTTGCCTAACGAGGAGTATTTAAATGAAGATTCTATATATATATAGACTTTTAATAAAAATGCCAATGAATACCCCCATACCCGTACTGTTCTCTAATCAGCAACATTTCAAGTGGCCGGGCAAGAGAATAAATAAAAAGAAATCTGTCGAAAATGAAAGGGATTAAACAAATAAATCACTTGGCTCTGTTTTCAGGACATTTTCGTCCTGAAGCCAAAAGGGTAGAAAAAATACTAAAGGAAAACGAAACGAAAAGAAAAGGGTTGCCCACACCAATTAATGAGTTAAAAATTGTGCAGCATTGAATGAATTGGAAAGGATGGAGGCGAAGGATTTGCCGCTGTCCCGCAGCAAAAGAGCAAAATTAATGAAGATATTTCGCTGTCGTCGGTTGGGTTCCTTTGAGGACCAAGCAGAAAAAATCATTTGATTTTTAATTACGCTGATTTTTTATATTAGAACGGAAACAGCTTGGAATAGCAAACACCTTGGAAATTAACACGCCCCAAGTTGGGCGGACGTCTCGTCTCTCGACTCGACTCTTGGTGACTTGGCCACTTGAGCCACTTGGATCGGAATATCTCGGGGGTCTGGGCACTCGGATGGCACTGCCAACTGGCCCCGGCACGCACGAAAGGGTTTCAACTTAATTAAACCGTTTCTTCTTTTTTCGTATACTTTTACTTTTTTGCCCCTTTTTTGACGCAATTGAAAATGGATGGGTGGGGTTGGAAAACGGGGAAAAGGGGGGTCTAAACTGGCAACTGTCATCGTATTGCGCACTGCGAAAAGTGGGCACAAATTGACATCTAAAGTGCTTAAAATTTTCTTTAATTAAGTGTGACAAACTGTGGGCAAAATAGGCAAAGAGCGATCACGGAATGAAATGAAAAGGGGTTGGGGTGGACCAAAAAAGTATTTTATTGTATAGTTTATTATTTGAAATTAACAAGTAGACTTTGCGAATCTTGACATTTGACTAAGAAAATAAAGGTGATTTCAAAAAGAAATGAAAAGGGATTGGATGGACCAAACGAGGTATTTTGATGTTTAATTTGTCATATTAATTTAACAAGTAGGCTTTTTAAGTCTTGACATTTGACTATGAAAATACGAACTTTACAATAAATTTAGGAAATGCCACTCCTTTTCGCGCAAGCTGACTCATTCGCGGCTCTTGGGTATCCCAATAAATAACGATTGGGTGGCGCGAGGGGAGGACAAAGAGTACGAGAGGGCAAAAGACGAAAGACGAATACAAAAAAAGAAGCGAGGATGTGGAACAGTAGCTGCCCACGCAGAAAACGGACGACACTCAATGGAAGTCATTTGGAGCTCGTAAATAAGCAAAGTGCAGCATTAATAGTTGCTGATTAAGGAGAGCGCCTACGGGAAATTAAAATTAAGTAATTTAGACCCACGTACAAGTCGAAAGCCGAGAGCCGAATGAAAACTGGTTGAATAACTTGGAACTAGAGTAGAACTTACCAACGATTCCCTCGGGGGGCGATTGGGTCCAGAAATTCAAGATACCCATTTCTTTTTTCACACACACAGTTACTGAGAAATTACAAAATATATATTTTTTGGTCACTTTTTTTCTATGAAAATTTTTCAGAAAAAAATATAATATTGTTAAGGAGAATACGTCCTGCTCGGAGGTCTGTACTTCTATAACTGACCCTATGCCGTTCGAGCTCCCAGGCCTTTGACAATTTAGACTTCAAGGCTAAGTTGATGAAAAATTATTGGTAGTACCTTTCGAATAAAGAAAACCTAGGGTTTCGGCCTACTACGATTTCTTTTATTGACTCTATAAAATATCTCCTCATTATTATTATCATTATTCCATTTTACTTATATGTAAACCCTATAAATATGCCCAATTTCCAGGCGAAATCTTTCGCCAATTAGCCAAGAACCAAGAGCCCCCGTCCGACATAAATAATAATCAATTTGATATCAAATCGAGCCACCAACAGACGACAATGTCCTTGCCGAAAGGCAAAGGAAAAATAAAGAAAAAACTAGGAATCAGAATTGATGATTATTGCTTTTTGACAGAGATTCGCCAAGGCGACAATAAAAACGGTGGAAAGCCGGGGAAAAGGAAAAGGAAAAGAAAAGTCCATACTCACATGTCCTTTTACGAGGATGCGTGGGCTTTCTGTGTTAGTATCAATAAAATAGCCGCACACACACACACGTAGCTGGGAAAATGGGGGGCCGAAGGAAAAATATTTATGTGCATGTTATAGTAAGTGCAAAATAATAGCCGGCGGTCGAAATTGGTGGGGTGGAAAATGGGGCGGGGAAATGGGGTGGGTGGGTCACAGACACGTAGCACACAGACTAGTACTAAAAATGTTTCAACAATTACCAAACCAGGGAAAATGATATGTGCTTGTGTGTGTGTGTTGGTGTGTGTCAGGCTAAGCATATGTGTGTGTGTGTGTTTTGGCAATAATGCACTCGACACTTTTATTTCTTTTTCATTAGCCAAAAAGCGACTTTCTTGGCTCTCGCCACCTTCTTTCTCCCTCTTTTTCTCTGTTTTGGTTCGTGACCTTCACATGTGTGTCCACCCTCCAAAGGGGAAAAGAAAAGGAGCTGGAAAATACTGAAGCAACATCTGGAAATTATCAAATAAACATTATAATAAATAAATATTATAATAAATAAATCAGAAGCCATGAATAATAATATTAATGTAATATTTACATATAGATTTAAGTTAAATATTTGTAGGAAGGAGACTTTATCCATTGGCAAATAATATTAAATAAATATATATATTTAAATAAAGAAAAAATTAAACAAACTTAAAATAAAATAGGAAATAAATTTATTAATTAATAAATAACTTAATGCTTTAAATAATATACTTATATATATAGAAAGCTGGTTTAAATATATTTATATATATATCTCAGGAGGCCATGAAGTGTCGCCTGTTAAATTTTCATAAATTTTTCAGATCAAAGCAGGCCGCGCTTTGAAATGTCATTTCCAGTCCCCTATAAAAGGCCGCCCGATCGCCTCAGGATTCAGTCAACGCACACATCTCGTAGAGGTAACAACTCCAAATTCCAAATTAAAACCTACAAAAATATTTTCCCTCTACTTTCGGTGAACATTTTTTTTTAGTTTGTGCTGTCCTGTTTATTTTGTTCAGTTCATTTTCTATTAGGCTTAAGCATAAAGTGTAAAAGTGTAATTAGTATTAAGTGTTAATAGTCATAAGTGTCAAAAGTATTCGAGGGTGTCCAACATCTCAAGCTCGGCCAGCCTGAAGCTGGCTTCATCATCTAGTTATAAGGATAGATCTAATGCTTTATTTATTATTTTCTGTTTGCTACACTGGAATACAAATCAACACTGGAAGAATAATAATATATCAACACTGGAAGAATAATAATATATCAACACTGGAAGAATAATAATATACGAAAACTGTAAGAATAATACTATATCAACACTGGAAGAATAATAATATAGCAATACTTAAGATAAAGGCAAAAAAACACGGAATACTAAAACTTACACTGAAACCAACACGTTATAAAGGAATAAAAGATTGAAGTATGTAATAAAAAAAACTTATATACATGTATATACATTTATTTTACTAACAATATATTTCTTTTTATTCAGATTGCTTACCTAACTACACTTTGAACGAGCCGGCTGAAGCTGATACGACCATCTCTTAGGAAGGACCTCTTTCTCAAGGGCGATCTGACATAGGAAGACTAGAGACAAAGGTTCAAAATTCGAAGTAACAAATTTTCTGTATTAAAATTCCCGTGCTGCACCGCCAGTCAATCAACTCTAAGACGTTTCGACTCGTATGAAGACTACCTTTTGGCCAACTAATTGTGGAAGAAGACACTAACAAAAATACACTTGTCAAAGAAGAAAACCTTCTGGTCTTTATGAATTCGAGGATTTACGGGGGAGCAGGCGCAAATTGCCCGGCGCTGTCATAATTTCTAATACCCAGAACCCAGAAATAGGGGCTCTATAAGCCAACTTTATTGGGGCAATAGTTTGCAATTAGCTGGCGGGCAATAAAAATGGACATCAACATAAAAATAATCGAGAAAAATCGGCCAATGGTCATGGGGGTTTCCATTTAAGCAGGGCAAATAATTGAACATGTTCTCTAATATTTTTTGGGAACAACTGCTCATATTTCCCACCGCAGAAATCTATTATAAACATTTTTTGGGCAAAAGTAGCCCAAAAAGTGAGTTTCGTGTGCGCGTTGTAACGTACAAATTATGTAAACATTGTGGGTCGAGGGGGTGAAAAATTATGAACCTTTAGGCAGATTGAAGAGAACTTTTTTTTTATATATTTTTACATATATACTTTTCGGTTGGCAGGCGAAAAAGAACAGGGACAACTGCGGGCCCAGATGAAAAATTCGACCCTAGGCAATATTTACAATTAAAAAATTAACGTAAAACAGACCGAAGAAGAAGGGCCACCAAGTGGGGGTTGTGGCTACGGGGTTTGTCTTGAAAATAAGAAAATAAAAATACAAATTGGGGGAAAAAATGGCATGGAAAAAACTGTGAAAAAGCCCTAAAATCAATAGGAAAAAACCTCAAGTGGAAGGGGGCCGTGAAAACTGGCAATGTTTAAGTTCTGCATGTATGCACTGAGAGAAGTTATTTTGTATTCATAAAATACGAAAAGAACATAAATATTAAACAGTTTTTGTTAAGTTTTCATTTATTGGATATGAAATAAATTTGTACTTTTTAAATTATTTCAAAAGAACAAATTTTGTTGTATAAAAAGGGTTTTTATTTGATATCGAAGAAATTATATGTATGAACTATTAAAAATATTTTAATAACAAAACTATGCTACTTATGAAATATTAAAAATGTTTATACAACAATGTTTAACAATATTCGTTTATCTTATGAAAAACTAATTTTAAAAAATCTTATCGGGGTCAAAATGTATAATATAATCGATTTTTTTCTGTGCATATATGTGGATAAGGAAAAGTATGAATGTGCTTTGAGGGGATTTTCCGCGAGGCCTAATGGAAATTGTATTTATCTCGTTTGAAGTTTTTCTCGTTCCACCACCAAAAATCGTGTCTCGCACCTTCGCCACCCCCCACCACCCACTTTCCCCGCCCACCAGGCGACACTTGGCCTCACCTTGCACCCCCCACCCCCTTTCGCCATGAAGAAGCCTCAAGCGTTTTTTATAAATTAACAAACGAAGAAGCAGCAGCGAAAAAATGATCAGAAAAACGGCATAAAAAAAGGAAAAGCGAAATGAATATTTTTTTCTGCTCTCTGTTCTGGTAATTTCTCTAGCGTTTTTATCCTCAGTTTGCGGCTGTCAAAGAGGCCGGGGAAAATGTTTAAAATATTTTCATAGGTAGTTCGGTGGTGGGTTGGGCCATATCTTCTGATCCTTAGTGTTTTTTGGGCTAATTTAAGCGTTAAACCGACTCCGGGCAGCTAACAAAAAAAAAGGGGAAGCTGTAAAATGAACAGTTGGCTGAGTGATTGGGCGGATAGCAGGTGGGTGGAAAATCAGGGGGGTGGGCCACCAGAACTGATTATTCAAATCCCGAAATCTCCGAAGCCAATTTGAATAACTTTACTTTGGCCAGAAGCCAGGAACCAAGGAGTATCGATGGAATAATTAATAATAATAAACAAAGTAAGCAAAATGGGAAATAAAATATTCAGGGGGAGTAAAAAGCATATAAAAATATGTATAAAATAGTTGTAACTCAGTATTTAAAATCTAAAGACTATCTAAAATTATTTATTTAAATATTATAAATAATTGCGGACTAAATCTTCCAAGAAACAAGGCCACATATTTATGCCAGCACGTTTCAGCGCTTGCAAAACGCTTCACAAAATGGCCAAAAATTGCCAATAAACTTTTGCAGAGCTGTACACACATATTCCTATTGCTAGTTGCCAAATGAATATTCCTATTCACAATCGGACACGTAAAACGAGTGGGGAAAATGAAATGGTTGGAAAATGCCGGGGAAAATGCGGGGGAAAAGGGTAGCCAGGACGTGCCTGGTTTGGCCAATAGCCTTTTGCTTCGCTTCGATGATGGGAAAACTTTTTCGATAATACTCAAAAATAAGTGCGAAAATTGTTGAATATTGCACATGCAAAATACACAAACAATTGACAGAGTTATAAACACAGACGCACACGAACAGTGTGCATTAGATATTAATGTATCAAAGGAGTTTACAAGAGGAAGAGGCTGGGGAAACTGGTTGGATTTTTCCTTGTAATTTAAGGCACACATTTTGCGTTCTATCTCTTGCTCTACCAAAAAACTTTTGGCAGACAAATGCGCCACATGACGTCATTGATTTTCAATATGGATAACCAGCTGTCTAGTTGTATTCACCCAATAATCTTTCAGCACTTTCATTCGATACACGCACACAAAAATAGACATAAATTTAAGGATACTATTGAAGTTAAAAAATATTTACAATAAATAATAGGGCTAATAAAAATCAAAAGAAATTATAAAAATATAATTAGTTTTTTAATGTATAATAATATATTTGCTAAATATTACTAAACTTGTAAGAAAATATTTTTAAATATATATTTACTTGGCGTTGTTTTAGCAATTTATTATTTACTTTCTTTATTTCGTTCTTTATTTACTTTATTTTCTGTTGAGTGTAAAAAACAATAAACACAGACACGCAGACAAATGGAGAGTGAGCTGCTGAAGACTCCCCGTCTTCATCCGCAATCCTTTCCATCGACTTTCTTAAATGTGAGCTTCCGTTTCCGCCTTGGAATATTTGCATACTCCGAGGCGGGCGATTCGATATTGAAATGGTTGGTAAGGGGAGGCCTGTCAAATTTTATGATAGCGCCAAACATAACTCATTGACAGCTTTGCGTTCTCACAGGCCGCCCGTCGCCACGGGGGGGCGGAGACTTTTCCCGGGGGGTTGGGGAAGGGGGAGGGCGCCTTCTGCATATTGCACAAAGTTATGAGCCGCAAATGATAAACGGCCTTGAGAGTTTTCTTTGCAGAGTGGGAATGAATAAATAAAGAAGGGGGAGTTATTGATTTTTTAAAATATATGAGCTCTTAAATAAATATTTTCCTACTTTAAATATTTTCTATATTCGTATGCCAATTCTACATCAGTTTTAACCTTGTCTCCTCGTTTAAATTTACATTTTCCAATTCCATTACGTTCATTCCTCGTTTTTTCTTTTTTCGAGCTCATCAGCAGCGCGTTTGTTTTGTCATCAAGCTAATTAATTAATTAGAAGCGGCAACAACAGCCACCGCAAGTGGTGTGAAAAATCGCCGGGACACACCTCAAAAGGCACACAACCCCCTACCCCTAGCACCCACCACCCCCTAAACACCCACCTACGAACTCCAAGTGAGTGTGCAATAAAACTGTGTCCCCAGTCTAATTAGATGTGTAGTTGATTCTAGTTGTTGGCTTTTTTTGTGCTGCTTTTTTTTGCCTCTGCCATGCGTGTAATTCATCAAATGTCAAAGCCAAAAGCCAACTGACATCGACTGCACCTTTTGGGCGTGTTGGTTTATTATGCGATATACCCCTAAAACGAACTAGCATTTCTGCCTTTTTTCCCTCTCGAATTGAGGCCGAAACTGGGAAGAAAAAGTGGGGTAATCAATAAGGTGTCTAAAATGAAACAATTTATCTAGAATCAGAAAAATATTCACTACTGCATACTTTAAGACAGCATTTTAGGTGATTTAAATTTTGTCTAAAATTCGAATCCATATTTTCCACCCTAAAATATCAGTTTTTAGGGCGTAACAATGAAAATAATGATATAAATATGGAATGTTATACCTCGCTGAGCTCGTAATTAAATTCCCTAACGATTGGCATTTAAACTTGAAAATGTTTAATTTTTGTCATTTTTCGCAAAAAATCATGATCATTAAAAAATGGAAAAATTTATCAAAAAATAAATTTCGCAGAAAGTGATGGGACTCGTTATTATAGGTCGTTAGCTGTTTAAAACAGTCGGTCTTTTTGCTGTAGGCCTTGATTTGTCCAAATTACTAGTGAAAAACCACAAAAAGATTCTTATTTTGTGTGAAATTCTAATCCATATTTTCCACCTTAAAATATCAGTTTTTTGGGCTTAACAATGATACCTCGTTGAGCTCGTTTTTGAAATCCCAATCGATTGGAATTTAAATCTTAAACTTTTAATTTTTAGCCATTTTTCGCAACAAATAAAAATAAATAACAAAACTGTGTAATAACTTTCAATCTATGCATATCCATATTCCATTCTCAACACCCCCCAAAACCCTAATCACCATCCCACACAAAAGAGATGACTTCATCTTGAATACGAGATCAATTTAGAGCAGATTGCTGTATATTAAACCCTTTCCGATTCAATGTCCCCCCGAAAACGAACAAAAAGAATATCCAGACAAGCCGCAAAATGCTGTTAAATCTCTCGCTCTTTTCGGCGATTTCCGTCTTTATAAAGATAGCATATTCTCATATATCCGGAGTTGTCGCCAATTCATTTTTATTGCCTTGCTGTCAGCTTTTTTCTATTTTATTTTTTATAGACGTTTATAGTTCTTTATGTGGCATAAATTTCCGAGACGACAAAGGGGGAGCGGCACATCCAGCATAAAAGGCATAAAAGGGTAGTTCAATTGATGAAAAGGGGGTTTTTTTGGTTCTTTGGTTTTTGGGGCATTTTGTCAATTTCGATATTAGCGCGTGCGCCAAAAAATATGCAATAACAATTGTCATGCATGCAAATGACTTCATTTGCTGGCAATATTTTCGTCATGCTCTCGCCAGAAATATTCCCCCGCCACTTTCTTTCATGGCTTTTTTTTTTGTAGTTGG